CCCCAAAACCCCAAAACCCCTTCATGAAAAATTGCTTAGGAATAAAGAAATTAAGAAATGAAAGGTTTCTAAAATCCGTCATTGTCATTCTCTCTTGTAATGATTTTAGCAGAACTCTTCTAATCTTAAGCAGAATTCTTTTATATTTGAGAGAGATTAGCATAATACTAATCTGAATCCGTTATTATAAAAGAAGCAATGAGCAGGCATAACAAGTGCTCCTTGTTCATGTAATAGCTTTTTGGCAAAATCAACATCATCTTCAATGCCATTAAACTACTCTATTCTAATATTTATCATCATATACATAGCAGCAGAAGGTTTAATTGGATTAAGTCCTTTTATCTTAGATACTTGTGTAAATGCATAGTCAGCAGATTGCTTTAATTTAAGCTTCATAGTTGCGAAGTGACTGTCGTCAGTCTCTTTAAATATGACTGGCAGAACTTTTTAAACAGTACTATCTGGATGAAATTGTATGGCGGCATGATTGCATAAGTTATTGATTACTTTATCGAAATATCCCTAATGATTATAGAAGATCATCCAACCACACCTGTATCCTGGTAAATAATACATTTTAGAGATTGAATTCAAACAGATAATGGGCACTTCTTTAGTTAAAACCCCCAAGGATGTAAACTCAACTCCCTCTTCATATGTAATACCATAGTATACCTCATCAGAGATAATAGGCAACTAAAGCTCATTAGCCATGCTAATAATATCTAAACAGTGCTGTTTTGTAAAGCAGGTTCCGCAGGGATTCGATGGATTATTCACCAAGATAGCTCTCGTTTTTTCATTTACCAAAGACTTTAGATGCACAAGATCAATTTCCCAATTCTTTTCAGGTAGGAGATCATAGTGTCTGAGTTCAACACCTAAATTCTAACTGATAGGAAAGCATAATGGGTATCCAGGCCTTGGCACTAATAAATTATCGCCTTTTTCGCAAAGCGCTGATATTGAATTATATAGCCCACCAGCAGCCCCAAATGTCATTATAACATCTTCCCATTTAAAAGGGTGATCAGGAGTTGAAAAATGATCTACAACAGATTATCTAGCTTCTTATGACCCAGCTGCAGAGGTATAACCATTATTCTTTTATTCCATCACTATTTAAACTAGCTTCTCTGCAATTATTTTAGGAGGTTCGAATCCGTTTACCTTTAACGGATCTCCAAGAGCAAAATTTATCAAGGGCTTTGGAAGATTCTAGGGTATTTTAAGATGATTTTCCATCATACCTCTTATCATATTTCTGACATCAGTTCTTTTTGAAGGTTTATGCTTCATATCCGCCCAGGAAGTATTTCGCTTTTCCATTTCTCTTTTTAAACAAAAGAAATTAATTTATAATTAAGAATATCTTGATAATATGATTACTGTCAATAAATAAAGCTTGAGGGGTTTTGGGGTTTTGGGGTTTTGGGG